TCGAGTAAAAGAAGTCAAATTTAACCCTAGTCAACGACACACATTTTAAACAAATTTACGGTCTTGAATAATAATTTCAGCCACATTCCACATTCCATAAAAATGCCATTACACGAGAGAGAAAAAAGGATGGATTTTAGTAAATTATCCCCATTATATCGTCCTATCTATTTTTAAATAATTGTTTATTATGACTGTTTACACATATTGCTTCCCTAACAAAAACTTCTTCTACTATCTTTTTTCTTGTCCCACAAAAGTTTTACCTTTTCTATTAAAAGATCACTTTACCCCTACTAATTCTTAATCTATCTATCACATAATACATTGTTACTAATAATCTATCCGTCATATCCCACTTTTACCCATGACAATAAGGATATTATTGAAAAGTCAAAACAAAATTATCCTTCCTTTAAATTTTTTAAAAATCAAAACGAGAACGCCTTAATGGGACGGAAGAAGTATTAAAAATCAGATAAATATGAGCATAATATATGAATAAAGTCATGATGAATAATTGTTCAAAAATGGTGATAATAGGTAGAATATAAGAAATTGAATTATTTTTTTTGACAAGATATATAAATATATAATTTCTTGCATGGGAATAATATAATTAATAAATGAATGAATTAATTTATGTATGTTAATTAACAGAGTGATGCATATCGAACGACGGGTTGTTATAATTTGTTGTGCTCGGGTTTTGTTCAAACAAACAATAGAATATCCATTGGAGCAGCTATCTCCCCTACATCTTCCTATGGTGGACGACAATTTGATATCACCGTTTTAATTTGGAAGGTACGTAATTATAAACATTATTATTATTATTATTATTATTATTATTATTATTATTATTATTATTATTATTATTATTATTATTATTATTATTATTATTATTACTCCGTACTAATTACCCATTTTTTTGACGTACTAAAAAATATTTCTCACTTCATTTCTTTAATTTATATTCTCTCCCTCTAAAAATGTTCTTCCAGTTTGACTTTTCACTGTCTCCAATATTGCAATTTGTATATAGATATTATCTTTGTTTTGGAGGTCCAACACTTTTAATTTCATATATATATATATATATATATATATATATATATATAAATTAAAAACATACTTTTTTAGGAATGTAGCTAGGTATTCCAATATTTTATTATAATACTACGGAGTATAATTTTGTTATGTTTATTACTAAAAAAATATTTAAATAATATTACTCCGTATTTGTTAAGGTCAATGCCCATTTTTTCATTTCGTCCAGGGCCATCGAAGTCCTTGACAAAAAAATGTATTGTTGTGATTAACATAATGTGCGCATGCATATATATACTTAAAAAGTTACATTTACCTCTGAAATGAAAACGTGGTTGAGATATTGGAGTGTTAGCTTCATCAACTATGCATATAATATAAGTGGGCATTGCACTTGAATTATGATGGTCTTCTTATTTGAAAGTCTCATTTTGACTTCACTTATGATATATAAAGTAAAAGCATGTAGATTTCTCCCTTTTGTCTTCAAGAAGCCATCAATTAATGAGTGAAGAAAAATGGGGGTGAATAAAAAAGATGAACAAGAAAATAAGGGTATTGTAGTATTTTTAATGTATTAATTAGGACGTACGACAATTAAAGATTCTGAATTTTGATATTTGGACGTTCGACAGGACCCGAAAAAGGGGCATTGGTGGCTACAGTTCGGATCGAAGACGCTCGTTGGGTACTGGCCCTCGGCATTGTTCACGCACTTGAAAGGGGCAGGGAGCATGGTACAGTTTGGGGGCGAGGTCGTGAACCGAAGAGGATCGGGGTCCCACACAACCACACAAATGGGGAGTGGCCATTTTTCAGGAGAGGGTTTTGGGAAGGCCTCTTACTTTAGGAACTTGCAAATGGTTGATTGGGACAACTCTTTGATCCCATTGCCTAATCTTAGAGTCACTGCTGATCACCCTAATTGCTATGATATTAGAGGAGGGGTTAATCACGCTTGGGGCAATTTCTTCTTTTATGGAGGACCTGGAAGAAATTCAAGATGTCCATAAATTTAAAAGAAAAAAGAAAAAAAAGAGTTCAAGTTCTCTTTTCTTTTTTTTTTTTTTTATATATTTTTTCCAAGGTTTTGGGTGTGGTTGAGCTTAGGGTTTTTATTTTTTTATTTTTTATGTAGTTGTGATAAATTAATTAATTATTATTATAAGGGAAATATAGTGAATTTTTGGTGTATCTAATATTGAATATTACATTAATTAAAAAAATAAATATGGTGCATGATAATACTATCAAGTTAGGAGACAAGTTCTATAAGCTTGCAAAATGTGTAAAAAAAACATATCCAAACTAATGACCTATTCGCTAATGAGTTATGACCTTTTTTTAGTGCTTCAAATTAATGACCTATTCGCTAATAAAATTATCATATCATATCATGAAACAACTCAAATAAGAATTCAAACTTTTAACATGCATGATTACATTAGGATGAAATTTCACTAAACTCCATATTAAAAATTGAAGATAAATCAGTCTATATTCTTCTTCTAATTAAGAACACGATATAATAAAGGCATTGTTTGGAAGTTGCTTGTCAAGTATTGTTTGCTAGTTGTTTTTGTTGGCTGTTCAGAATTGTTGATGAGTTTAGCTTGTTTGACCGCCTGGATATATATATTATATTGGCTGATTGTTAAAAAATCTTTAGTAAAAATTACATTTTTGCAATTAGTTGTTTCGAAATTTTAAAAATATAAAATTTGTATACATGTATGTTTGTGTGTGTGTGTGTGTGTAAGTAGCAATAGAATCAAATTTTCTCATCACAATGAGTATTAGATTTGTATTTTAATTTAAAGATATGTTACTTAAATTGTTCATTTTGTGAATCTTTTGTAACCAACAATGTTGGGTTTTGCTTCGATGATCTTGAATGGATGTATAATAAGTTTGAAAGTGAGAATGTAGTTTGTAGAGAATAGTTTGATAATGTCATGGAATTCATGGATATTTGTTCGTCCAATCTCAATGTTAATTGTCAAGGAACCTATTCAACCAAAAGCTCAAGCTTGTGGTTGTGGCCTAGGAAAGTTTATTTGTGCTCTAACACGCCTCCTCGCGTGCAGGCGTAGTCTTTTTCAAGCCTTACACGTGAAACTATAATTTTTTAAAACTAGGTGGCGCTGAGTTTCGAACCCGTGACCTCTTAGTCAACTAGGCTCCGATACCATGTCAAGGAACCCATTCAACCAAAAGTTCAAGCTTGTGGTTGTGGCATAGGAAAGTTTATTTATGCTCTAACATTAATAGGTCTAACAATAATATGCAATGTCCGTGTAAGTCATGTAAAATTTTGAAGTTTGGAAGTAATGCAACCATAATAGAGCACATTCTCTAATTTGGTTTTATTTATTCCAAATTATTATGAGCACAGGGGTCTATCATTGTGAAAAACATGGGGATATTTTTAATCTAAATGATGGCGAGTGGAACATCTGAACGATACAACATGTGTTGCAGGAACCGTAGTTAGAGGCCAATATGTTGACATGGTGTATGACGTTGCACGCCTGTTTATGGCAAATTTAAATGCCGAGAAAGAACTGAACCCAACAGATAAAAAGTTTTTTAACATGCTGAAAATTGTTGATAAACACTTGTGGTTAGGATGCCTTAAGATGACACAGTTATTGGCTACTAAAGATTGAATCAAAACATAATCTATCCACATTCAAAAAAAAAACATAATCTATCCTCGAAATCGCTAGACAAACCGATTCACAATATGTGATATTCATGATATGTTCATCATCCTGTATAGAAATCGAATACTTTGCTAATCTAGAAAAGGGTTGTTGCAAGCGCATTCTTGCACAAGGCTTCGAAGAAATTGTAATAAGCCAACAAAGAGGATTTAAATAGGATTTGCGTTATAAGTCATATGTAAGGTAGATTTTATCATAAATATTAAGAAGAGGCCGACATTCTATTTTATCGGTGTAATACACACACACACACATATATCTCTGTGTGTGTATGTATGTATATGTATGTATGTATGTATGTATGTATGTATGTATATATATGTGTGTGTGTATATATATATATATATATATATATATATATATATATATATATATATATATATATATATATATAGTTAGTTAGTTAGTTTAATAAAATATGTGAAATTAGCACTAAATAGGATTAAAACATAATGACTTTCCTAATGTACGACTCAAACTTTTTTATTCCCTAAATAGGACTTAATAATGACCTAGTGGGAGGAATAATGTCCAGTAATGATGGACATTTACTTGAATAATGACTACTTCATAATGACTAAAGGTCCTACATTGGGAAATAAAAACATATGGTCCTATATTAGAAAAGTCATTATGTTTTAGTCTTATTTAAGTAAATTTCTCATAAAATATTGCTTACTTTTATCACTTCCAAAACCCTTGTCATACATGAAGTTCATACTTCAAATTCTTTTGTAACGAAATTTCAATATTACATTCTTCATTTTAATGCTCTCTTGGCCTTGCAAAAAAATCATTGTTTTACTTGTCCAAAAAAATCACATTTTATTTATTTATTTATTTTTTTGCATGTAAAAGAATCGCTGACTAACAAGCTTTTTTTCTCCAAGTAATTTATAACAAATACTTTTTTATTTTTTCAAAACTCGTTTAAAATCAAACAAATCACAAAATCCTTGTATATTCAATATATCCTTGTACATTCAATATATTTAAAAAAAATTTAAAAAACCAATATTTTTGGGGAAAAAATTATGGTAGAGATATATTAGTAGCATAATGGTTTCGTTGTCACTTGTCAATAGTGTCACAGATTTTTTGGAATATCCATGATGTTCTATTTGTAAATTAAATATTTTGCAGGATAGAGTTGGGTGAAAATTCAAAAAGAAAATAATAAAAATCATCAAATTTATAAACATGTTTCAAAAACCATTACAAAAATTTAGATGATATTTTCTTCACCTGATTTGATCGAAATAAATTCTGATTTAATTTGATCTGAATATTGTTATATTTATTTTTTTTTAATGAGTTTTAATTCAAATAAAAATAAATAATAAGTTACTTTCTTAAAAATAACTTGGGAAGAATATAAATAACATTAATCTTTCCACTTTCTATCTCCATTGCTAATTGCAAGTGAGGAAATGGCTTTGCTCACTTCACTCTCCCTTCCCCGCACCATTACGCCGCAATCTTCTACGCATATTAACGATGACGTCAAACTCCGGCGGTCGTCTTTTTCATCCTCCGGCAGCCGCCCCACTTCTCGGCAACTTCTTCTCTCCGGTATGAGCTTCGCGTTATTACTGAAAATCGAATTGAATTACTACGCCGAAAGTTTGGCGTTTCTTCTAGTTGATATTCGACGAATTTATCCCCTCTTTGTGCTCAATTTTAGATAAGTATTTGAACTTTCAAAAGCGGTTTGTGGTTTGTGCGAGAAGATTGAAGGGTTTGGAAGAGGCATTAAGAATCCAAAGGTATTTCTCTTTGTGCAACAGCGTGATTTTGGAATGAATCTGGGTTTCATAGGAACTTAGAGGAATCATTAATGGTGGAAATCGGATGCTGAAACAGGGAGCGTGAGCTTGCTAGTAACCCTAGCAGGAGGCGGCTACCTTTAAAGAGAGGACGGGTGTCGCCCCAGCTTTTTGTTCCTGATCACATAACGAAGCCTCCTTATGTGGGCTCAAGAGAATTGCCAGAAATCTCAAGTCAACATCAAATCCATGATGCCGAAGGAATTTCTCGAATGAAAGCTGCAGGTGAGCTTGCTGCCCGGGTGCTCGAGTTTGCAGGAACGTTGGTTAGGGTGAGATATTTAACACCCTTTTGCTCTGTTTTCAATTCTGAATGGGAATTTCCAAGTTCCAACTGATGTATTTCTACTAACTTATTCGAGTACAGTAGTTAACTGAATGGATAATGACAAATTGAATGGATTTTATTTTCTTCAACATTTCAGACTTCTTAAATCTAATGCTCTTACCAATCTACTTGTATTTGATTGATGCTGCTTACAAAATATGAACTCACTAATGTATTGTCAGCCACTAGTAACAACAAATGAAATAGATAAAGCTGTACACCAAATGATTATTGATGCTGGTGCTTATCCATCTCCTCTGGGCTATGGGGGTTTTCCTAAAAGTGTCTGTACTTCTGTCAACGAGTGTATGTGCCATGGAATACCAGACTCTCGGCAGCTACGGGTTGGTTATTTTCCATACCCACCTTTGTATATCAGTTCAGTTCTCTTTTCTGAAATGACTTCGTTTGATGCAGGATGGTGACATAATAAACATTGACGTAACGGTATACTTGAATGTAAGATGTTGAAAGTTTTTGTGCCCACTATGCTTTATTGATTCATTATTTATGTGTGCTCAATAGATGTCCTATTACAAAGATCATATTCTTTGGTTTCTTTTCCAGGGTTATCATGGAGACACATCCAAAACCTTCCTTTGTGGCAATGTTAGTGAGCCCATGAAACGCCTTGTCAAGGTATGTCTTTTTGCTTACTAAAGGAATGATAAAGTATAATATGGCTTAGGCCCCGTTTGGCATTAGCTTTAGTGTTTAGCTTCAATGTTTCATAATGTTATCCAAAGACCAAAGGTAGCCCTTAACCTTTTCAAAGTTATTGTGCACCATTAAAAGTTTATACTAAAGGGTAAAGGCTAATGCTAATTGAAAACGTTGTTCTCAAAAGAAGCCACAGTCAAGTTTTAGGACTTTTGGCCATTGACATATTGGTCGAAATCTGCTGTTTTAGCTACATACTTCTGATATTTTGTCCACAAAGTTGAAGCATTGAATAACTATTCTTATTTCGTAACTTTTTTTTATCTGGAAGGCGGTTATAGTCACACTTGATCTTTTATTCATAAAGTTAAGCCTTATATGACAGGTTACGGAGGAGTGCTTGTATAGAGGAATTGCTGTTTGTCGAGATGGTGCCCTGTTTAGGAAAATCGGGAAGAGAATAAGGTGTTTATAATTAACATAATTTGAAGTCCAATGTGTATTAATCTTTTTACAACTATTCTCATTCTGAGAGTATATTTTTACACCAAACTACTTTTCAGTGAACATGCAGAAAAATTCAATTACGGTGTGGTGGATCGTTTTGTTGGACATGGAATCGGGACCGTATTTCACTCTGAACCACTCATATTCCATCACCGTAAGTGCTTCAAGCTTTGTTTAACTTTGACGTACGTGACATGTCATATTTATCCGTCCTGGACAGTCTTTCATCAATGCTATTTGTTGTGCTTTGAACATTCTATTGGTTAGATCTATGGAACAAAAAATGCTCATATTTATTGTTATTATTATTATTTTACATTGATTGAATCACTACCAAGCAATATCCGTATTCATCATCTCTTAAACAATGTACAATGTTGTGAATCACAAATTGTACACAGCATTTCTTTGTGATATGCATTCGTCTCTGTTACAGGTAATGACAAGTCCGGTAGCATGGTTGAGGGGCAAACATTTACCATTGGTAAGCGCAGATTCTTTTTCTTCTCATTTTTTGGCATGAATGTAAGCAATGCTTAACTATTTACTCCTCATTTGTTGTTTGTGCCACACGAGGAAGAAGAATTTCAGAGTGGGCAATCTTTAAGTTTTGGGGTATCTTTGTCGCAGAACCAATTCTGACATTAGGAAGAACGGAATGTGTGACCTGGGAAGATAACTGGACAACTCTAACAGCCGATGGTAGCCCCGCTGCGCAATTTGAGCACACAATTCTGATCACAAAGACTGGCGCTGAAATATTAACTAAATGCTGACTATAACCTCGGTTAGAACTTAGAACAAAGTCTTTACATATTGCTTTTCTGTATTTTTGTTCTTATATATACATATTCTCGGCTAAGGGAAGCGTTTTCGAATGTAAGATAAAATGATCCCATTTGCAAAAGTTGTTCTTCTTATGCTCCTTATGTACATTCACCACTGCAAAGGAAGCTCTGAAAGTGCTCCAAAAATGCAGTGGCACTATTGGCCAGTGTCAACGAACCGTGTCCTTCATTTAAATATTTAATGAAAATTATGTTCTCAGGAAGCACACATAAATACCTATTATGTGTAAATATATTATACATTGGACAAACTCCAATGTTAGTTGGAATTTAGGGATTCTAAGAAAACTTGGTACAAGTGGTTAAGGGTGATCTATGCGTAAATGATCTTCCTGCAAATATGGTAAATGATAGGGCATAATGGCGTCGTTTGATCTATGCAAGCGCTCATCCGAAGGAACAAATCTTTGTTGTTAAGGTAGTATAAAAGTAATTGTTACATCATAAAAAATACAATCCATATCCCACAATGGAAGGATGGTGTTATTGAACATTGTATTTTATTTTTGTTGTGAACCCTACTTAAAACAAGAAAAAAAAATGGATTGGGATCTAACTAGGTAAACAATACTTTATTTTTAATTGAATTTAAAAATCTCTCCCTCCCCTATTGGGAATAATAATAAAGATAACTTTGTACAAAAGAGTCATAAAGAAAACTTAAATATTTATTAAACAGAATTTAATTGTTCACAAATTTATCAATTACTAACAATATTTTCGTACATACGATTAAAGGGTTAAACTTTAGTTCAATTTTATACATCGATGGGGTTCTAGTGCCACCGGATTACGGCGTCACTGCGTTTTTGGCGTACCTCCGGTGCTCTGTTCGCAAAATTAACGGTTCCTACTCCCCTAACCCATCCCCTAAACCCCCACCCCAACCCCGCCGTAAGCCCCCCACAAAATGTGTGGCTATTATGCGTTCATAATAGCCATACATTTTGTGGGGGCTTACAGCAGGGTTGGGGTGGGAGTGCAGGTACGGGGCTAGGGTGGAGGGTTTAGGGGGGTAGGAACCGTCAATTTTGCAAACGGAGCACCGAAAGTGCCCCAAAATGCCAGTGGCACCATATTCCGATGTCACTAGAACCTCACGGTGGGGTTCTAGTGACACCGTACATTATAACTACTCTCTTTTCAGCTTTTGTTTTTTATCTTGAAAAAAACTGGCAATTATTATAATATCAACTCAAAAGTAATTATCAAAACCATCAGTTTGAATGTGGCGAGGCAAAGTTTCCAGTTGCAAAAAAAATATTAACTTTCAAATATTCTCTCTAGAGAAAAAAATTACATTTTCCATGGCAATGGTAACAAAACCATCAATTTGTCTTCCAAACGGTCTTAGCAAGCACCGGATAAATAAAAATTACAGCCGAAGTAAAAATTCCCCTCCCTGTCAAAGAAGGCAGAAACATTACCACCAGAGAGCTCTTATTGTTCATTTGAGAGATGAAGTTACATGTATGCTAAGCTAGACTACAGTTGAAAAGAAGAAGAATATGGTCTTGTGGAGAATTGCAGTCTTTCATCAAAAGTCCATGCCACCCATTCCACCACCGCCCATGGCCGGAGTATCCTTCTCCTCCTTGGGAAGCTCAACCACCACCGCTTCCGTGGTGGTCAGTAGGGAAGAAACGCTGGCGGCATCAACCAACGCCGTTCTTATCACTTTCAACGGGTCAATAATCCCAGCCTTCACCATATCGACATATTCACCTGTTTCAATTGAAAAAAGAACGCATTAATCTTTCGGCGATGTTTTAGCAAATAAACGGGACTGGTATTATTATATGGAGAGTAATGCCCTGTTTGGGAATAGCGTTTTCAACTATCATTAGTGTTACGGATTATTTTTTAATGGTGTAGATTAACTTTGAAAGTGCTGCGGTTAGATAATCTTTTCAAATGCTAAAGCTAAATGCTGAAGTTTTCCAAACTGGCATTAGTAATACTCCCTCCGTTCCAAAAAAAGATTCCCCACTTGGCACAAAATTTAAGAAAAGTGAAAAAGTGTGATTCCCAGATTGACTTGGCACAAAGTGAAAATGAGAGTGAAGTAGAGGAGAGAGAAAGGTTTGAGCCACTCAATGTTTTCCATAAAAGGAAAGAGGGGCTTTTTTGGAATGTCTCGAAAAAGGAAATAAGAAGCCTTTTTTAGGGATGGAGTGAGTAATTAACAGTGGGAGAGATTCAAGATATTACCTTTAGCTGCATCATAACCGAGATCAAGGTTATCTTGCTCAAGCAACTTGCCAACCACAACCGCACCCTCTACTCCGGCATTTGCTGCAATTGTATACACCGGTGTCTGCACAGAGAACAACTTGTTTGGTTAGACAAATGGTGTTTGGTCAGACAACACACTGTCACCTCTATTTATACTTCCTGAATTTTGATTAATTTCTACTTTTTTTTCAAGTTGTGACTAGGAGATTACTTGTAATGGGAATTCATAGAATATGAGGCATGATGAATAATGGTACAAACCTTGAGGGCATGCTGAATAATCTGGACACCAACCCTCTGGTCAAAGTTGGCAGTGGGTAACTTTTCCAATTCTTTCGAAGCATAGAGAAGCGCAACACCGCCACCTGGGACAATTCCCTCCTCCACAGCTGCTTTTGTGGCATTTAAAGCGTCGGTAACTCTATCTTTCTTTTCCCCAACCTCAGCTTCGCTTGCACCTCCAATCTGCAATTTTAGCATTAAAAATGAAGTTCAAATTATGGAAATTCAATTAACTTCATTTTTTTAAAATAACAAGAAATATTAAAAGAACTTAAAAATTGAATTTTTAGCCTTATTTTAAAGGAATATCTAAATAAGAATACATTTTGTACAGCTTAAACAGACATACTTTTAAAACAGCCACACCACCGGAGAGCTTAGCTAATCTTTCTTGCAACTTCTCCTTGTCATAATCGGATGTGCTCAACTCGATTGCTGACCTTATCTGGTACCATAAGTCCATAACCATCATGAGGTATTATATTACAATCAGTCACAAAAAAAATGGCATTCTTGAAACCAGAAACTTCAAGCACTAACCTGTTCACATCTTTCCTCAATAGTCTTTTTCTCTCCTGCGCCATCAAGAACGACTGTATCATCTTTTGAAACTGTGACCTGAAACAGTAGCATTAATTAGTACCAGTGACCAATGAAATGATGAGGAAAAATTCATTTCAAAAACTCAAAAGCAAGTATGTTTTACCTTTTTGCATGTTCCAAGCAGTTCGATATCAACATTTTCAATGTTCATCCCGAGCTCTTCGGTTATGACCTGATTGATTAATGTAGTGCAAACATGTTTATCAGAACTAAAAGCAGGTCACTAAAATAAAGATCAATTATAGGAATAGTTCTCACTTGGCCTCCTGTGAGAGTGGCAAGATCTTGAAGATTTGACTTCCTATTTTCTCCAAATCCAGGAGCTTTTATGGCACAGACCTGAATGTATTTTAGCATATAGGTACAGTCACATCAATCAAAAATTAAAACTCCAGAAAACCAGTACAAAAGCCTCTTGGCAATCAGATGCTACCTTGATTCCAACACGAAGTTTGTTAAGGATGAGTGTTGCAAGTGCATCACTGTCCACATCTTCAGCGACAATCAACAGTGGTCTTTGCTTCTGCAATTGTGCAACAAGGCAATAATAATGTTAAATAAGGTCATAATTTTTTTAAAAAATTATGACAATCTAGGCATCATGCTGTATCCTTGATTTGAAAAAGAGAAATAATACCTTCAAAGCCAACTCTAGGATTTTCACAATAGCATTAATGCTTGATATTTTCTTCTCATGGATAAGAATAAGAGGATCATCCAACTCCTGCAAATTTAAAAGTGTAGCAGAGAAATAAACAAATGTTTATCAGCAAACATTTTTTGCATGTATAAACAAATGATTATACAATGTACAAGAAACATCAACATCAAAGTCTGGCAACTTACACATTTCTGATTCTTCTGGTTTGTAATAAAATACGGAGAGATATAGCCCCTGTCTAGTTTCATCCCCTCCACAACTTCTAGCTCATTGAATAATGTCTTCCCGTCCTGGAAAAGAACCAAATTCCAAGTAAATCTTAAAAACACGGTTCAAATTTTACATAGTGCTAGCTGAATACTTGACATCTTGTGATGCTATTAGATTATTACTCCAGGTATATGGTGTTAATGATTATGTGTCATTCTAATTATTATTAACTAAAACTGATTCCTAGATAAAGCTTACATATTGATATGGATCAAAGACTATAATGAATACAAAAACAGGAAAATGCAATTGTGTTGTTGACTTGTTGTCTTAAGGGATATTTGAAAAAAATAAACAAGAGCACCTACTTGAATTGTAATGACACCTTCCTTTCCAACTTTCTCCATAGCCTTCGCAATTAGCTCACCAATCTCTCTTTCTCCATTTGCAGAGATTGTTCCTACCTGTCAGCACGAAGAATAATAGTTCGTAAATGTTTAAGAATCTATAAACTTCAGAAATAAATGAGAACATAGACAAATGTGCAATGAGATATCTCACTGGCTGTATATACAGAAACTTTCACATGAATACTCATAAACCTTAAGAAACATTACCCTTAAAGGCAGTGGTCATATACCTGAGCAATTTCCTCAGATGTGCTAATCATGCGTGCTCTGCTCTTGAGGCTTGTTACAACAGCATCAACAGCCATAGAAATACCACGTCTCAGATCCATTGCGTTCATACCTGCTGCAACTGACTTGCATCCTTCAGCAAATATGGCCTGTGTGAGAACAGTTGCACAGGTTGTACCTATAGTTGAGAGAAAAGATCCAACCTAAACGGTTAGCATATCCAATATAAACTATATTGCTGTGAATTCACAATGAAGGAGAAACAAAGCCCAACATGAAAGCTATGTTTGACTCACCATCACCGGCAACATCATTGGTAGCATTAGCAACTTGTTTTACAAGACTTGCCCCAACATTTTTTACTTTGTGGCTAAACTCTACACTTTTTGCAACAGTAACACCATCTTTTGTTACTTTTGGTGCACCCCAGCTTTGTTCAATCACAACATTGCGCCCCTGAAATACAATAGCAGTCAACACATATACTTAAAAAGAAAGTTAAAGATTACACTCAAAGAAACCATATGCATGAAATACAAAAGCAATCCTTGCAAAGAGGAATAAATGATGGGCACAGCGGCTCACTCCTCTTTAAAATTGTGATCACTTTTTCTCTAGCCTCTCGTACCCTCAAAATTTGGGCATTCAAGAATTGAATAAAATCATTCATTTGAAGGTAAGCAAAACAATCATGTTGAAATGCTGTTAACAAATACAAGTAACTTTCTATATAACGCACAGTTCTTCCAGAGTATACACTTTAGCAAAATGTGAAAAAAATTGTACAAAATCCTAAACCCCACCAAGAAAAACTTTCATGTTCAACATGCACAGACAAGCTTCTGATCATAATTCATAAGTCTAAATATGCAAAATAATCAATTTAACAGTAAGAGCCTCAAGAGTGATCAGTCTGAAAACGCATATTTCAATCTGAAAGCGCATCATAGTGCATTGATCTAACCAAATGACGCTGCTGCTAAACAATTGGCCAAGTACCGTTAATTTAATTTTTTGGGAGAAAAGATGGTACCTTTGGCCCCATGGTGACCTTAACAGCATTGGCAAGCTCTTCTACTCCCTGAAGCATCAAGGCTCGAGCCTCGACTCCAAATCTAATATCTTTGGCAGCATAGTTTCTGTTCCAACTTAACCTACCACTTACCTGGATATAAAAAAATCATATTAGGGACAAATCAAACCCATAATAACAGAACATAGAAAGACAATTCGAACTCCAGAAGAGAAACGAACGAATGAATACTCTCCGATCTATACAAATAAACAAGAAATTACCTGTTGAGTGCAGTTCTTGGCGACCCTGAAACAGAAACAACAATGGGTGGTTTAGCCAATGCAGATTCCGTAATGTGAGAAAGTAAAACTGAGGTGAGGACCGTACCTAGCCTTAGAGGCAAGATTTGCTGCGAAGCGATACATGGTTTTTGAGAAATTGATGCCGAGAGCAGAACAGATGTGGCGATGAGGAAGAGCAGTGGAGGCGGAAGCAGAGAGCACACAGAGCAGTGCTTCTAGGGTTTTGGGGTTTAGAAGCCTCTGCTACCAAAACCCAATAAAAGAATACCGAGCAACCTTTGGAAACAAGTTTTAAATTATTACTCCCTATTTGGAAAAAATTTACATCAATACTTAAAAAAATACGGAGTAGAGGATAATATGATATACAAAATTACAAATACTATGGTCACGTTTGGATCATTGTTGGATGTTAGTGTTAACATTTTGAAAAAATTATCTGATGCTAGTATTAAGTGTTGACGTTTTTAAAATTAATCTATATCATTAATCTAAAACGTTGTTCCTAAACAATGCATAAGCTCCTAGGAAATTAGTCATTTTCTACACTTTTATTTTTGGACGCCAACTAAATTAAATACGTGACATTTTAAATGTTGACTGAACAATTATTAAGTATGGATTAGTAACTAATATTGTAGTTACAATGAAGATTATTTCATTATGGTAAAATTGAAAAACTACCTGCATTTGCATTTTAATCAAATAAATTATTAATAGTGATTAACAAAAAAATAGTTAATTTTAAAGTCATTATTTTTATAATAATAATAATATATTCGTTTGATATGTCTCAAAATATAAATCTAATAGAATATGTTGTGAAAGGATAAGAATTATGGATTTCACATTATGATTATTTTAAAAGTATAAAAAATGAAAAATGTAAAATTGAACAGGTTAGACCATTATTTGAAAAATAAAATGATGAGAAAGGATCGTAAAAAATACTCCTGTATCTCTTATCAAACGTCTATCACCTTATTTTTATTTTTATTCTTATCATTTTGTTTCTTCAAATGACTATCAACCTAATTCAATTTTACGTTTCACATTTTTATACTTTTAAAATGGCTATAACTTTAAATCTATAGCTCATATACTTTCATAAGATCGGTATACCGTTGGATCTCTGTCCGACTTGTCAAACAAATAAAATTTTGATTATTAAATATTAACTTTAAAATTCTAATTCATTTGAATCAATATTTATAATATATCAAATTAAAATATGATGAACACATTTCAGTTTTTCATTTTAACTACAGTGTAAAAATGAAAAACTCACGTCTAGAGAATGTGCAAGGTATGTTTGGTGCTCGAACATTCAAATTTTACTACAGTGTGAACCCTTGTTTTGTTCTTAAAAGATATATGACTCATATTTTGATATTTTCATAATTTTTTACTCATATCTAGAGAATTCTCCCTTTCCATAAAGCTATCCTGTAGGGGATTGCCCCTTGGACCCCGCTAGGGGCTGCCGCCACCAAACCCCGCTATAGAAATTTTAATATCATTGAACGGGCGTGCTCTCTGCACCTTCAAACTCGTTAACAAGGCATATTAAAATTCTCGCTTATTCTAAGTAAATCTCAATTTAATAAAATAGTCGATGACATAAAAATCATCAAAATATAATAGAGGATAAAATATTGAAAATCCCGTAATACAAAAAACCAATTATGAAATTTACTTTTATTAAAAAAAATGAATAACTTTGAAATATACATATACATGCATATACGGAGTATATTTTTTTGAGTAATTTACATATATAAGAGTAAAAGACATCACTTTTCCCTAAATAGGAGTACTCCTATTTGCATTACCGTATAGTACTATAAAATTACAAAAATATCCCATGACGAAAACCTCCAGCCGTTTTTTCCTCAATCAAGTTGGGCTATAATTTAGGGAATGACCATAGAAATAGTAAAAAAACACATTATCCGATTACTTATCTAATTTAAAATAAAATTAATTATATTAAATTTACATACTCCTTCCGTCCGAGAGTATTTGTCCAGTTTCATTTTTACATACCATCCAATGCATTTCTTTAATCCATTTTATCTTGTAATTTGTATATTAAAAAATTATAGAAATTATATATTAATAATCTATATGTTAAGACAAATCAAACAAGATCACACATGACTATATTTAGGCTTACACATTCAGAGAATTTGATGAGTCAAAGTGCTTAGATGAACAGTTCCAAAAGTCAAAAGTGGACAAAAACTAGGGGACGGAGGGAGTAATAACTAAAAAATATTTATTTCCATGATTAATGATCAAAATGTGTAATATTTATCTTTAAAAGTTAAACTATAAAAACATGAGTAATTTACCTAAATAGGACTAAAACATAATGACTTTCCCAATATAGGACCATATGTTTTTATTTCTCAATATAGGACTTTTGGTCATTATCAAGTAGTCATTATTCAAGTAAATGTCCGTCATGACATTATTCCTTCCACAAGGTCATTATTAAGTCCTATTTAGGGAATAAAAAAGTTTAAGTCCTACATTAGGAAAGTCATTATGTTTTAGTCCTATTTAGTGCAAATTTCACTAAAAACATTTAAGATGAAGGAAGTATATGATAATTTTTGGGATTTCATCAGAAGATAGTGTCTTAGGCATTAATTTTTGTAATATGCAACTAGACAAGGGTAAATATATTTGCTCGTTGATGATGTTCAAAAAATAAAGTCATTATGCATATGAACTTTAAGATGAAAATATAAAGAGCGTGTGTAAACATTGCATATGAAGATATTAAGCTATACACACAATATTGTTCTAAAACATTATTGTCTTGAAACATGCACATATGACATTTTGATGTATAAAAGGTCATTCACACAAGACGTTTTGATGTACAATATGTTGTAATATGCAACTAGGCAAGGGCAAACATATTCCATGGCTATTGANATTATGCTTATGAATTTAAGGGAAAAACATAGAGAACATGTGTAAACAATGCATATGAGGACATTAAGCAATATACAAACATATTAAAATCATCTAAGACATTATTGCCTTTAGACATTATTATCATAAAACATTCACACAGAACATTTATATAATGTATAAGGTCATTATTGTGAATATGAGTAAAAAGGTAAAACTTTCAATTCACACATGCCATTTTCATAATGTATAAGGTCATTGTGAATATGAGTAAAATGGTAAGTGGAATTTATCTAAATAAGATTTAAACATAATAACTTTTTCTAAATAGGACCATATATTTTTATTTCTCAATGTAGGACCATTGGTCATTATTCATTAGTCATTATTCAAGTAAATATCCACCATCACTGGATATTATTAATTCCTCCCACTAGACATTATTAAGTACTTCCTCTGTCCTCCAGTTTTGTCCACTTTTGACTTTTGGAACTGTTCATCTAAGCACTTTGACTCATCAAATTCTCTCAATGTGTAAGCCTAAATATAGTCATGTGTGATCTTGGTTGATCTATCTTAACATATAGATTATTAATATATAATTTCTATAATTTTTTAATATACAAATTACAAGATAAAATGGATTAAAGAAGTGTATTGGATGGTGTGTAAAAATGAAAGTGGATAAATACTCTTGGACGGAGGAAGTACTATTTAGGAAATAAAACATTTTAAATGTTACTCCGTACATTAGGAAATAACTTATGTTTTAGTCCTATTTAGTGTAAATTTTACAAGGGGTTATACGAAGAAATTTAAAAAAAAATAAGGGCCTAGAGTAAAAATGTGTAGTTCTCTTACTACCTCCGTCCCATTTTATAACGCCTGTTTCGGTTTACGATGTTTGATTGAAATTATTTTCAAACCATTTTATATGACAAATGGTATAGAATTAAAAAATAAAAATTACATATTAAAAAACTAAATCAAAAGATCTACAAAACTAGTAGTGACAATAATATTTTATTTTATCAAATTGTTAACGAAAATAAAGAAAGAAAGTGAATGAAGTTTGACCCTGTGAATAGTAAACATGCATTATAATTTGGGACGGAGGGAGTATAATATAGTAACAGAAATATTCTTTAAAAAAGTAAAAAAAAATATTTTTAAAATCACAAGAAAAGAAAATATGAGAAACAATATACTCCGTACAGAGTAATGATCACTAAAAAATAGGAGAAATTATAATTAATTATCCTCTAAATAAGAAAAGAGAATCCTATTTAAAATATGGAAGCTAAAGAAACGGAATTGAGAAAAGTAAGTCTAAAGGGCAAAGATGGCTACACGGGACAAAATAAGTCTTAAACAAAGAAAAAATCATAATAAGTCTTATTTAGGGAAACCTATCATCTTTTAGTCCTATTAGGAACAAATTTTACTATTTTTTTTGATTTTTTAATTAACATTTTAAGGTGCACCCGCATTTGCACCCAAATGACCCAATGGCTTTCCCTTGATGAGATCCAGCGTCAGCAAGATACAGCTGCGTGAAGCATTTATTTCACACCAATACCCTCCATTATTTTTAGTCTTTTTTAAGAAAAATGCTAGGGGTACACCATTTGGTGTACTCCATTTGTCCCCCACCCCCTTCATTACCACATAAATAGGCAAAAATTTTAAAAAAAATTAAATAAATAAAAAGTAGATAAAAATGGGTGGTGGAGAAGGGGGTGAGGGACAAATGGGGTACACCTTTGGTGTACCCCTAGCATGGCTCCTTTTTTAATGCTGTTCCAGCCACCAACCTGTATAAAAATTCCAAACAGCAGGGAGATTATTGTTCTGTTTGGGTCGCTTTCCTTCTCAGCCTCCCCTATCATTCCTGTGTCTGAGTAGGAACGATCCATGACCCACTTTTTGCCGCTCCTCTGTATCATGTACCAAAAGGGTTGGCTAACCAATTCAAGAAGACGCCATTCTACTGCGAGTTCTGTATAAAAAAATCCCCCCTCCCCCCCACCCAAAAAAAACCCAATTTTTTTGATGGTTGCTTGATATGGGGAAATGGGTAATGACAGGATTTCAATTGGCCGAGCTTTTTGTGAGCTCAGTGGCTTATTTGGCATACGGGTTTTACTTATTCAGCACAGCAGTGGCTGGTGACCTCTCTCAGAGCTTGAGTGGACGCTTCTTCAAGCCTGATATTGAGAATGAGTTGAAATACGAGGAGTCTAAGGTCTTTGATCTTCCTCCCATTGTGTTGGTTCACGGGATCTTTGGTTTTGGTCAAGGGGTAAGTGATTTCTTGGATTTTTCACAGATTTTTAGAGCAATAGTTCAGGTAATGTACTGATACCAGCTTTTGGGTTCTTGGATTTGCCATTTGTTGCAGAGATTTGGAGGGTTGTCTTATTTTGCAGGAGCAGAGAAGAAAGATGATGGAATCCTTGTGCCTGACTTGGGGTCATTGACCAGTGTTTATGATAGGTGGGATTCGAATCACATCCAGTGTTTCTCTAAATTTGAGATATTTTTTCAAGAGGGATTTTTTCTTGTCTTTGTGACATTTGACGGGCTTTAAGCTGCAGGGCTCGGGAACTATTTTACTATTTAAAAGGAGGCCAGGTTGATTATGGGGAAGAACACAGCAAGGCTTGTGGGCATTCACAATTTGGAAGAATTTACGGAAAAGGTTTGAACTTTGAACATCCAAAGTTTCAAGCACCCTTTGCCTCATGTTGATTACTTGCTTACATCTAATAAGCCGTTGCTGTAAATGTAACTTAACAGTGTCTATAGTAAAAATACTAGAAAGCTGTTTGGTATGTAGTGTTTTTACAACATTTTCAATTACCCTACACCTATGTGACTATGTGAGTTCGAAGTTTGAAGATCTAAGGTAATCTGACATTGTTTTGGGGTATAGAAGGTAGTTAGGCGTAGAGGATTGCCTTTGTAGGAGTTTGTTTATTTACGTGCTGTTATTTACTCTTCTTTCTTTTGTCGGTGTTTGAAGATTAACTTGCTTGTATATAGTCTTGAGTTGAAGGTCTTTCTGAAACAGTCTCTCTACCTTTTGGGGTAGAGGTAAAGTCTTCATACACCCATCTTCTTGACCCCATTTATGTGACCTTATTCGGTTGTTGAATCGTAGGGCATTACCCTCAGTGGGACGAGGAACACCCTATTCACTTCGTTGGCCACTCCGCTGGAGCACAAGTTGTCAGAGTTCTTCAGCAAATGCTTGCTGACAAGGTCATCTCTCTGCACATGATCAATGAGGTTTTAGACAATTGTTTCGCTTTTGAAACTAATAAGTGCTCTAATGAATCAAGTGTAGGCATTCAAGGGTTATGAAAGTACCTCAGAGAATTGGGTCTCGAGTTTAACTTCATTGTCCGGTGCACTGAATGGGACAACAAGAACCTACCTTGATGGAATCCAGTAAGTTCATTTGCAACTCGTCTTACTCTTAGAGCCCGTTTGGTTGCCTTTAGTTTTGACTCATACCCTTACTTTTTTGCCACAAGTTCAGTTACATTTCTATATAAGATCGTGATAACGATTTAGCAAACAATCATTTTGTTCATTCAATTTTTTTTTTGGAAAAAAAGGCCAGAAGATGGGAGGTCCTTAAAGCCCATATGTCTGCTTCAGCTATGCCGAATTGGAGTCTTGATATATGACTGGTTTGACATCCCTTGGCTCAAGGCTTACTACAATTTCGGGTTCGACCATTTCAACAATTCTTGGAAGAAAACCGGGGTGCGAGGCCTTCTTGATTGCCTCTTGGGGAAAGCCGGTCCATTTGCCTCCGGAGATTGGATCCTTCCAGACCTTTCAATCCAAGGATCTGTCAAGATGAATAGCCGCTTGCGCACATTCCCAAACACTTTCTACTTCAGTTATGCCACAAAGTGTACTTTCAAAATCATGGGCGTCACGGTTCCTTCTGCTGTGCTGGGAATACATCCATTGCTCTTCATCAGAGTCCTGCAAATGACCCAATGGGAACACCCTTCTGATGCTTCTCTACCTTTTAAGGGTTACAGGTTTGTGTGTTTCTTCAAGTTTCTGTCTTTCTTTCTCTAGTCGTTGTCTTTTACTCGAACAAATATTCAAAATCTTTGGGTTCTAGTATAGAATTTCAAGAAAGTTGCTAGTGTTTGTTTGTGTGAAGTTGAAATTATAAATGGGACTACTACAAATGCAGGGATGAGGACTGGTGGGACAACGATGGAGCAGTGAACACTATATCAATGACACGGCCTCTTTTTCCAGTCGAGCACCCGAGTCAGTTTGTTCCAGAAACTTCCGAGCGCCAGCCACTGCAGCCAGGCATCTGGTACGTTAAAATTCCTAAAATACCCTTCCTGTTTTCGCTTGTTATGTACAAATCTGAAAGCCTTTGCCACTGGTAAAACTCTTAGCTCGGCAGCACGTGTATTGTATGGATTGTTACTGTACGTTGTTTGTCTAAGCTGGTGGTCTCTTGAAAACAACCTTTGTCAACCTATTTCTTAGAGTCACTCTACAAACTCACTACACTTGACACTACCATTAGCAACTGTCTAGGAATTTGTACATACATAGACGATAATAGTCTGTGAACTCTGTAATTTCACAGACAATTATCATCGGTGCGTGTACAAATCGACATATGGTGTCATCTATGGTGTCAACATCTTGGTGTTATCCTAGCATTTTTGTATTTCCTGTGGGACTTTATGTCCATCGGCGAATCGGAAATGACTTGTACCCTACGAATGCAATGCAGGTACTATAAGATTGTGGAAGGGGATCACATTCTTTTCATTTTGAACCGGGAGAGGGCCGGGCTTCAATTCGATCTGATATACGACGGCATTTTTGAGCGCTGCCGGAAACATATGATTAGGAGGATTCAGATGTTACCCGACAAGCTGCCGGAAACATAGATACATATGTACAAGGATCATGTTGTGCATTGTATTGTTATGGCTCTTCATAGTTGGAGTAGACCAACTAAAATTGCAATGTGTATAGGTTTCTTGTTATTAAAATAAAATATTTTTGTCAATATCTTATGTTGAGTAGAACTTTTTTAGATATGCAATTTTTATTTTTTTTATTTCTATACTAATTTGTAAATAAAATCATTTTAAAAATTACAGGATTTTGTACGTGGTTCGAAGAGTGTAATTCATTATGCGACTTACTCTTTTTTGACCTAATTTAAACCGCCTGTTTTATAATGAGTTTTTATTGGGATGCATGACCCTATAAAAATATATGAGAATGTCAGTTTTGCTTATCCTGTATTTTGTAAATTAAAAAATTATTCCATAAAACATTCATAACATTTTATACGGAGTAATATTTTGGATGAGATACTCATTATTTCTCAGAACAATGTTCATTTTATTCAATGTTATTGCTTTTGTTTTTTGAATTTTCACATATTGAGATACACTTTTCAATGTATTGATGTATAATAATAGTGTTGGGTTCTTTTTGTTAGTAATGTTTTAAGAAAGCTCTTTTTAACTCAATGAATCAACTAATCATGTCCACCCACAATAATTATATTCCTCTCGTCCCTTAAAAAATATTTGATTTTTTACAGAGTTCAAAAAATAATATCGAGCATGAGAAATAAAGGTGGAAATTTATGCAAAGACAAGGAATAATTTGAATAATTTATTTCTATTCTTAAATAAAATGAGAACTTTTTTAGACAAGTGAAAAAATGTAAGAGGCATTTTTAGAAATAGAGTATTAAAGACTCAAAATTTGATGGAATAACTTTGTCAACATACTCGTTATTTAATAATTTAAGGCACTTTTTCCAAAAAGAAAAAGTGAAAGAAAAAAAAAGAACTTAGTATGTTAAAAATGGCCAAATGGCCAAGTCAAAAGGAATCCTTTTCCCTTAGTTTAAGGGTTGAATACAAACAAAAAAGTTGCTTTAAAAAATAAAAGAAAAACCATTTTGTTTGAAAAACATAAAACTAACAAAAAAAAGTAACGTCTGAAAAACATGAAAAACATGAAAAACATAAATTAATATGAGTAGGGTTCTATTTTACAGTAAGGTTGAAAAAAACAAAAAAATTTGTTTTTTTATGTCAAATTTTAAAAAAACATCCTCCCAACACATATATATGTCATCATACTCCGTATTATCCAAATGGAAATTAAAGAGAAAAAATTCAGACCATCTTCCCTCCTAGTACAAACTATATATATATATATATATATATATATATATATATATATACACACACACACACACACACACACACAAAGAAGAAAAACATTTCAGACCATCTTTCCTCCTAGTACAAACTATAAATAGATGGATAGATGTATATCACAAGTTAGTCAATCCCAACTCTTCTTCCCTTTATCTACCATTATTTTTCTTCCATTCTTCATTAATTCTTACACACACTCATCTAAAATATTCATTTTTTTGGTTGTTAATTGAAAAGTTGGGAATCAGAATAAGAACTAAGCTGAAAAGATGAAGATACAAACAATCCCTTTCACTAAAACTTCATCATTAGTTCCTTTACTACTAGTGTCAATGGTGGCTCTTTTGCTTCCAGAATCCAACGCCTTCCCGCGATCCCAAACCATCAAAATGATCTGCAGAGACCAGCTGGTGCGCAACGCAACAGTCTCTATCCAATCTTTCGTCGCGACAATGGGAAACCTCAGCGACCAAATGAGAGCCAAAGGGTGGGGCGCGTCCTCCATGATCAAAACCAGAGCTGAAGACGACTCTCTCTATGGGCTCGCGCAATGCCACGGCGATCTCTCCCCAGTCGACTGCCTCTTGTGCTATGCCGAAGCGCGCACCGTTTTGCCTCAGTGCTTCCCCCACAATGGGGGAAGAATCTATCTCGACGGGTGCTTCATCCGGGCTGAGGTCTATAACTTCTTCCAAGAAAGTCTCGGACCGGAAGACTCCCACATTTGTGGAAAGAAAAAAAGGAAGGGGTTTTTGTTCCAAGAGGGAACGAAGAAGGCGGTGTTGAAGGCGGTTTTGGTCGCGCCGGGTAACGACGGGTATGCCCGCGTTGAATCGTCGGTTTATGGGAGGCGCGGCGTGGAGGAGGCAGCATATGTGCTGGCAGAATGCTGGAAGACTTTGAATGCCAGTGCTTGTAAAGCTTGTTTGGGGAGTGCTTCTAGATCCATGTTGAAATGTCTGCCATGGTCAGAGGGTCGTGCGTTGTACGCCGGATGCTTCATGAGATACTCCCACACCAACTTTCTCAATCCTGTTCCAGTAGCTTCTGAAAGACCATCAAGAGGTAAATAAGTGTGAAGGAACCAATTCAACTAAAAAACTCATATTTGTGGTTGAAGGCCCTACAGGCTACAATAGTACAATGCTCCATTCGACCCCAAAAGACAGTGGATCGTCTTCCACATGGGGGGGGGGGGGGGGCTGGGGGTGTTTAGGAACCACATTAAGGTCGAATGGAACACCGTAGGGCCCTCAAGTGGACTGGTGTCATATTATGACGCTGGCCTTTGGCGTAAAAAGAACCCCAAAGTTGTTTCTTAACACTGGTTTGGTGATGATGACTCTTGTGTGTGATTTGTTTTTGCAGTGAATGCTATATCCTCTGTAGTGGCAACACTGTGTTCTGTGATTGTGGTTGTTATGGGAGTTATCATTGTCCTTCACACTTTGAAACAGAAAAGAACACAGAAGAAAAGAGAAGGTAAAACATCAGCAGTGCAGTGTTTGGCAACCAGCTGTGCTGATGTTTGGGTTAGCTATTTGTATCGGTTTTTGTGAAAAGCGTATTGTGATCTAAGCATGAAAACCAGCTGCTCCGAAAACCTCTAAACATGTGCTCTAAAAACCATGAAAAATAAGCTTGGAGTAGTTTTTTTGGGACAAAACAATTATTTTTACCAAGCACTTCTAATAGCTGTATTTTAACTCAAAAAGATTTTCACAAAAACTGAAAAAAGTTCCTTACAGAATATACAAAAACTGAGAGGCAAAACTGCACAAAGTGTTTAAACTCTACTTAACCAGTCATCAACTTCACAGGTGCAAATGATGCCAAGAAACTAGTGAAGACCCTTCATGACACCAGCTTGAACATCAAATATTCCACTCTCAAAAAAGCCACAGGGTCATTTGATGAAGCCAACAAGCTAGGGGAAGGGGGGTATGGAACAGTGTACAAGGTTTGTTTGCATAGGTCCTATACCCCACAAATCAAGAATGTTTTTTTTGGCCTATTATTTCCTTAAGATCTTCATAGTTCTAAACATGATGGTTTCATAACAAAGGGAGTTTTGGTAGATGGTAGAGAGGTAGCAGTCAAAAGACTCTTCTTTAATAACAGACATCGGGCCGCAGATTTCTACAATGAAGTTAACATCATAAGCTGGATTGAGCACAAAAATCTTGTCAAGTTGTTGGGTTGCAGCTGTTCTGGCCCCGAAAGCCTTCTTGTCTACGAGCTTTTGCCAAACCAGAGTCTTGATAGGTTCATTTTTGGTGAGTTCTTACTCCACTTTGCATAACTTCATTTTTGGTGAGTTCCAAAGTATGATGGGTCACAAAGTTTGACATGAATATACGTTTTCTTGTCAACTATAACAGATAAGAACAAAGGCAGATGTCTAAACTGGGAAAAAAGATTCAACATAATTATAGGAGTCGCAGAAGGGTTGGCATACCTCCACGAGAACTCAAAGGCGCGCATCATTCATAGAGATATCAAGGCTAGCAACATCCTGCTGGACTCAGACTTCCATGCAAAAATTGCAGATTTCGGACTAGCTAGATCTTTTGAGAAAGATGAGAGTCACATAAGTACAGCTATTGCAGGAACATTGTTAGCCACTACAAATACTATTTCAATAATGAGGTTTCAAATTCGATTCAATGCTTCATTTTTCTCACTGTTTTTTTGTTTTTGCAGGGGATACATGGCTCCGGAGTACTTATCAAACGGACGACTAACAGAAACTATAGATGTTTATAGCTTCGGAGTGCTATTGTTGGAAATTGTCATGGGAAAGCAAAACTATAAGAGCAAAAATGCAGAACACTTCGACTGTGTGGTGCATATAGTATGCTCTAACTCTAACACCTTGCATCTAAATTACTCTGTACTTTACAAGTGAGATTCTTTTGACACATCTCATGGGTGTCATTACATGACACACGGGCCATTTGAGGGTCCTACAATCCCCCCCCCCTACTGTGGCATAACGGCAAATCCAGGGGGTTAGGGGGTAGGACCACTTCATGTCAAACAGAACACTGTAGGGCCCCCAAAATGGCCCAGTGTCATATTATGACACAGGCCCTTGGTGTCAAAAGAACACCACTCCTATGATGGAGTAATGAAATGATGATTCTCAAATATCATATCATTTCACTAATTCAGGCATGGATGCACTTCCAAGAGGGGACTGTAGAGAGGCTAATTGACCCAAACCTGATGCCTCATACCTCCCGCAATGCGAATGTAAGGCATGAAATTTCCAGGGTGGTTCATGTGGGGCTATTGTGCACACAAGAAGTCCCATCACTAAGGCCATCAATGTCTGATGTGCGGCGTATGCTCGTGAAGCAGGAGGAAGAATTGCCTCCCCCTAGTAATCCACCCTTCATAGACGAGAACTTGGAGCTAAACAAGATTTGGGATGTGGAAATGAAGTCTCTTAAAGAAGGTGAAAGTGTTGCTTCATATGCCGCCATTTCCTGCAGCCCTCTACACCCCAGGTGATGCGTTGCAGTCCGGTTCGACCCTGGAAGTGGAAAAGAGTACAGAGTAGAATTAATAAGATATCAAAAAATGCTAGAAACCCAAGGTTGACACCATAGGCTATTTTTCGCACAATTGAGGCACTAATGGTGTCAACCTTGGTGGGTTTGTAGCATGGCTCATGAGATATTATTGTAAGCGTATTAGAAAAGGGGCAACAACGTCTGGGGAAAGGTCCCACAACAAGGGTGTGATGTAGGCAAACCTTACCTTGCAGATCTTTTTTTTCATTCGGAGTATTATATTATTATAAATGTATTAGGACACATTGTACGGAGCATAATATACTACTCCCTTAGTCGCATAACTTCCCACTTTCTTTGTTTAATTGTCCAAAAATCAAATTCTCATTTCTTTTTGGAAAGCACCTTTCACTTTTTTTAAAAAATAAAAAAATAAAATTTTACCGTCAACAACCTACATATTTACTACATTTTACTTCACCCCCAAAAAATAAGGCAAAAGGATAATTCTCTTTCTACTTTTAACCTTGGTGCCATTATCACACAGGATGATAATTTTGGGACAGAGAGAGTAAAAATTTGATTTATTTTATAATTGTGCTCTAGTGATATAGTTGTATTACAAGACGGATATATTGCTTGACTATAAATACATGTATATTCAGTGCAATCAAGCTACTTCTTGAGCCAGAACGAAAAATAGGCTTCTACTTGATTTCTCAGATTTCGGCCTCAGTATGACCTCACATCCAAACAAGAAGAAGAGAATCTTGATTTGCTCTACTTTCAGATCAACATATGAGAATAATAAGATGGGCATTCATTTAATATCCGGATGTTTATGTAGGAACTCATATCCCATAACGATAGGCAACTATGTACCTTTTATAATTAAAACATTAAATTTAAAGACATTTTTCAATCACATTAATTTTCTTGATTAGATAAATGATACAAGCAATATGAAGATACATTACTAAATGTACATATGGAAATGAGATAATAATATACTCCGTATGTTTTTAATATAGAAACTTGTCAAACTTTAAGAGACTAGAGCACAGGAAAGTATAGCACATGAAAATCCAAATCCAGAAGATGAAAGAGCACCTAAGGCCCCGTTTGGTACATAGAATTCAAACTAAAGAATTGGAATTGAGGACTTCAATTCCAATTCTGGTATTTGGTAGCACAAAAATTATGTAGATTTGAAATTGATAGTGCAAAAAATGAATTGGAATTGGTGAATTCAATTCTATGGAATTGAATCCCATGGAATTTCAATTTCAATTCAATTCCAATTCCATCAATTCCATATACCAAATGGACCCTAAATGATACATCATTCTATATACAGGCTTTAAAATGCAAGCTGGAGATAAGTTTATATTCAAACAAGAAAATGAAACAATAGAGAAACTTACAGGAATCGGTCGGGCAGGATTCAGTTTGCCCATGAGCCCTGCCCACTCTTCAATAGAGATGCATATAGCAACTCATTCCAAGTATCGGGCACTCCGGGCAGGCACCAGTGGCTGCAGTCTTGAGCATGCACTCCATTATGACCTTCTGCCCTATAAACTGAAGGGTGACCATCTTTTCTGTAGTCTGTAAGCCTACTGATGTTCATATAGACCACTGGAGTCTTCATATCACGAATGACACGCTCGAGGGCTTTCATCTTTGAGGGGTATTTTGCCAAATGCTTTTTGTTAAAAATTGGCTCCGTTTCGTTGTGGCACTGCCCACCAGAGTTCCACCGACCTCCTCTACATATAATCAAATCAGCATGACTTTCAAACTATTTATAAATGAGGCGCGAAAGAGATATAAATAACAAATGAGTACAGAATTTCAGCTTGTTAGTTCCATATTGTGTTGGCATTATTTTTTGACAAACGAATAGATTTACCTAGAATTATTTTAGATATTTTATTTAGACTTAGAGTTCTAGCATGTGAAGAAAGAGAAAGAGGAAAGAGCTTGAAGAAAGAAGTCTAATCCTACTTGGTTTACTATTCTTGAGGAGGAAGGCATGGTTGAGACTCCTAAGCACACTCTAACAAGGTTAATATGCTCTATATATTATCTTCACCCTCCCTTAGGGTTTTGGAAGTGCAAAACTACGAAGAACCTGAATCAAGTTCGATCAAAAAGAAAAACAAGGTGCAAAATTAGACAGTGCAAAGTTTCTGGACAGCCGCACAGATTTGATCATCGCCGGAGATCCGACCGTTGGATTTTGCTGAAATTTTCAGAGGGTGTTCTCAACACATAGAGCTTCAACGAGTTAAAATTTCACGTCAATCGGAGTTACGGATCTTCTGTTATCAAAGTTACAATCTACACATCGTTGCTGATTTTTTTGCAGAAAACGCAGCCCTGGTTTTCTTGTTGGTTGGAGTACCAAATCATGTCCGATCGTGCTGAAATTTTAGGAGGAGTCTAAGGACTCGTGGAGCTTCAATCTGAACGGTGGAGATTGAATTCTAACGGTTCAATCTTGATTTATGAGCTTCGGATCAGCCTGCATATTTTAGTAGATCAAGGAGAATCTTTATTTGAAGGTGTATTGGAATCTACGTCCTTGAAGAAGATCTTTGAGAAGGTGTAACAAGCCGTGGAGATAGACGCAAACCGAGTTTGTCGTCAAGTCATTCGTAAGTAGACAAATCAATACATTAGAAGGTTCTGNTTACACGGACGTGGGCCTTGCAGACGTAGGAGAATTTGCTCCGAACTGCGTGAACAATTCTGGTGTCTTGCTTGCTGTTTTTACTTTATTTTCTACGTGTGTGCTTGTGACAAAGAAGTGTTATAGCACACTGTTCGTCATCTGTTACTGTGACAGTGCTGCAGCATATTCTCTACAACATAGTTGATTGTTTTGTTTGCATAGCTTGTGTTTGGTGTTATCCGCTGCGCCCCACGAACTTACACAGCTATCAGTTCTCAATTTCAAGTGTTGTAAGGAAAAATGAAACATATGTAGTACTCCCTCCGTCCCATAAAAAGGTTCCGCATTTCCTTTTTCGTCCGTCCCAAGAAATAGTTCCACGTTTGGAAACAATTTTGTGGCCTTATAAATTCTCTCCTCTCTACGTCACTTTCAACCACAGTACCACACACTTTCACTTTTCTCAATTTCCATGTCAAATCAAAGGTAGAACCTTTTTATGGGACGGATGAAGGAAAAAGATCAGTTTTAAGACCTCTCATTTCTGTTTAACTTCATCTGCCAGTTTTTTTTACCAGACATTAGTTGATTGTGCTGAATGAATTGGTTCAAAACGAAAGAACTACTGCAAAAAAAAAAAATTTGCCGAAAGTTTTTTTTATTTATAAGGGTGAAAGCCTAAAAATTAAAGAATGATTTAAAATGAAAGAAAGTTTGAGGTATAACCCCATTTTTAGATTTCGTTTTCTTTAAATTGTTGAAAAAAACTGTATTTAGAATATGATTATTACCTGAAATGGGTTGCAGAATATCCTCTGAAAATAACCTGAGTTCTGTTTGGATCAACATTGTTATCCACCCATCTAGCCCAAGTGTGAAGTGCTCTCTTGTATGCTTCAAGAACCTTCAGTCTTGTGTGCACATGATTGCCTTCCTGGTAATACTCTTCCCTGCAGAACCAATATAATCCCAACACTGTTAGAAATAAAACATTGTCAATAATGGCTCTTTTGGCTCCATTGGCAATGGACGGAAATCATGTTCGAGAGTCATGATATATATATATACATAGAGAGAGAGAAAAAGAGAGAGAGAGAGAGAGCGAGAGAGAGAGAGAGAGAGAGAGAGAGAGATGAAAAAAGAAAAACAAAAAAATCACACAATACCCTCTAGAGGTTTTCTCATGAGTCCACCAATGACCAGTGTTAAAGATCATAATATCTGCATCATTGTACATTGAAGTAGTCTGGTCCATTAAATCCAATCTAAGTGTCTCAAAAGAACCATTCACACCATTGAAAGTGGATTCTCGGACAAGAAATGGAGAACCAACAAAGTCCACAGAGCAGTTGTAATCCTAGAAATTAACAACAAAAAAACATCTTATACATATGAAGAAAAGAAGATTGAGCCAGTTTAAGTATATGTTTTACCTCAAATCTGAATGCATAAAAGCCCTTCTTTCTAAACTTGCTCCTCCCTGAAATCTCATAAACTCTCTTCTTGTCGTGGGCGCCAGCACGGAGCATGCAAACAAGGGATTCCCACATGTTCCTATTTAATGAATCGCCTACGATGACCAGTGACTTGCCCCTCATCTTCTCCAGAAAATCAGTTGAGTTGAAGCTAGATATGAAAAGGATGACACTAACTTATCATTCTACGAAAGTTATCTTTGGGTGTCAGAAAATGCTAGGGGAGGAAAAACTATTGCTATGGAAAGATATGTTTGGTTTTACCACAAAGTGAAATATGATCATTGTTTTCAATAGTGTATTGAATGTGACCAAATAAGTAAAAATGAGCTTAGACACATAAAGAACAATTGCATTGAGTTTGAACAAATGTTTCATTTTTCCTAACAAGTTCTTTCAGTAGCATTTTTCCAGTTCCAAACAAACCATAATAGACATTAATTTGAAAAGCCATATGATTATATTTCAAGTAAACCGTTTTTTGTAGCAGCAGAAGTTTTAGGACATAATCCATTACTTTCCCACAAAACTGCATTGGCAACAAGCATGCAATACAAATATTTTGAAAAAAAATCAGAAATTATTTTAAGATAACTTTGCCCTTACCTTGGGATGTCACATGCATAAGGTCGCCATTTCCATTTTATATAGCCATCATCTGGCCTCTTGTTGAAGTGGCAATCAAAATCCCTATCAATGTAAGGGCATGAGCCAGAAAGATAATATGGCTTCGTGTCATCTCTTATCCATTCACCATCATAGATATCGCATTCCTTCTTGTAGAAACTCCTTTCCATTCTCAACAAGTCTACCGTCCCATTTTGAGCATTTGTACCATTTTGCCCTTCACCAGAAATACTTTCATTTTTGCGAATCTCAAAGGAAACATTTCCTTTATCAATAACATTTGAAAAGCTCACACTCCTATCAATTTGAGAGTAATTCTTCCATGGACATTCCTCTTCTTTACTGTTAAAGCTTTCATTTTTGGGATTTTCAGTGAAATTACCAAAATGGGTATCTACAATACCTCCTGCTCTTCTTCCTTCAGAATCCATCAAACTTCCATCACCAGAACCAGCATCGCTACAGCAAGAACTAACAGGTGAGAAAGAAAATGGCCAGTAAAGATGAGACCTTTCGCTGCTACTGTTTCTACTGCCCAAGCTGTTAAGCCCCTGAAAAGCTGGGAATAAAAATGGAATCTTGACTGAGGAGTTCAACAAGAAAAGGCTGGCCACTACAAATGTGGCCGCCATGGCCAGCCACCAGCCAGAAGCAACTTTTTTGCTGGGAGAAGCTGCATACTGTGACAACTGATCTGAGAATCCCAACTTTTTGAAGTCCATCAAGTCTCTTCTTTGACACAAACCAACTCACTAGAACCAACTTCAAGAAGAGAGAGAGACCCACAAACCACAAGAACCAGGTGTTCGTTCAGAGCATAGATGCTTAGGGATCTCAAGAATTGGTGGTGAATGAGTAGATTGAGATGCTCGAGTCTTATTTTTTCCTTTTTAGTTTAAGCCTTTTGTTTGGACAGTGAGAAAAGTAAGAGAAAATGAATGAAATACGGAGTAGCATATTTGCCCTTATAGCCCCTTCCTTCATCTTTTTGTGTCATTTTCTCATCCCTTCATCTTCTCTCAGAATTTTTTTACCCAAGCATTAATCGTTAAAATGAGTTTTGTTAGATGAGTTGTGTTGGTTAGTTGTTTCAAAAGATATCTTAAGACAAAATGAAGGGTTTTTCTTTGGTGCCCTATGGTGCCCTTAATAATTCAATTCATGGGCATGGATGCTCCTCCATTTAAAAATTGACATGTGGATATATAGATTTATATTAATTTTATTGTCATGTAGATTAATAAAGATTCCTTATTACTTTAAGTTTCAAAAATTATAATATCACCACTTTTCTTTCGCTCTTTTTTTATCAACTTCCTTTAAAGGTTTAATTTTTTGATCAAATAGTCCATGTTAATTAATTAAATTGATTTTTATTACATTATATGCCATTAAATGTTAAAAATTCAATTATGTTTTTTTGTATAAAAATCTATTTACCATTGCACTTTATGTTTCACATAAATAAAATAGACTTTTTTTGTTTTACATTATTCCATAATCCATAATTATATTTCGTTGAAATGACATTAACTTGCACGGAATTTTAGTTTGTTAATTACTTTAATTATTAACGTATAACAACTCAAATTATTTTGGATTGAAGTAATTAAGCCGAAGGTTTGAGTATGCCATTGACCATGTATTTTTTTTTCAAAAATACAAAGTATATAATGCTCGTATAATACGTATATGTGTATAATTTTCGTATAAAATGCAAATAAAAGGAAAAGAGATCTTCCTAAAATCAAATGTTATTGTGGACCCGAGGTTTACATCACTTTAGGGGTAGAAAATGCACGTAGTCAAATGTTTACCAACTGGATAAACATGTTTTTGGCAAAACAATGTAAAAAAGTTACTTATCAAAGTAGTAAATCCTCCATATATGCTCACCTCATTTATATGAAAATTCACATAGGCTCTATTTGATACACGGAAATCAAATTATAGGATTGGGATGTGGGATAATTATTCTAATTCCGTTGTTTGGTATCACACAAAAATGTGAATTTAAAATTGATAGTGCCAAATATGAATTGAAATAGGAGAATTCAATTCCATCCAAATCAATTTCATAGAATTTAAACTCACAATTAAATTTGAATTTCATCGATTCCGTTTGATATGCGGAATTGACGGAATTAAGATTAAATTGAGAGTTGAAATTCTATGAAATTGATTTGGATAGAATTGATTTCTCTAATTCTAATTCATTTTCGGGACTATCAAATCCAAAACAACAAATTTTGTGCTACGAAACAACAGAATTAAAATAATTGTCTCCAATTCTAATTCCAAAATTTGAATAATTAGGTGACCAAAGGAAACCTTATAACGGCGATTGCCTTAAAATAATTTTGTGGTTAAGCTCTCTTAACAAAAAAAAAAAGGGCTAAACTAAGCTGTCTCCAAAGTCCAAACGGTCTCTGAAGTCTGAAATACGCCGGCCAAAGCAGAGAATTAGCCGCTAATCCGGCGGGAGCCGACCAACAGACCGGAAACTAGCTCCGAAATCCGCCGGCCAAAGCAGCGATGATTTCCGCCGCACACACAATGCGATTCCTGTGATGAATTTCACCGCAAACAGACACTGTTCATCTTTTTAGTGCTTCCACCATGGATCTCAAACCATTCAAATTAGACATAGATGAGCTTATAGGTGAATTCGCTGAGGTATGAACTACTCCTTAATTTTTTTAATTGGATGATCATCACTCACAAACTACGAAGCGGTTGAATTTTAGCCTTGATTCCCCTGTGTTTTTCTGCATTTTTCTGCAAATTTGGGTAAGCAGTAATTGTGTTCTTATCAGGGAGGATCAACATCTCTTGCCGAGATGAAGAGTGTCTGGCTTTCAAAAAAGTTCACCTATATATTTGAGGCAAGTCCTTCCACAAATCAGGCATGCTTTATGCAATCACTCTTTGCTTATTGCATAGGTATGCTCTTTCTTTGTTTGTTTTCTTCCAGTCTATCTTCTATTAGTGCTTTTAAACCTAATCATATGTGCTTTATCCTGTCCACTCTTTGAGTAATAGATGCCCCATGTAATTTCTTCTTTTGTTGCAAGAGCCTAATTTCTTGGAAACGGTCTCTCTACTTTCAGTAGGAGTAAGGTCTGCATACACACACCCTCCCCAGACCCCGCTTTTGTAGGATCCTACTGGGTTGTTTTTGACTATTTGAATTTATAGTCTGATGTTGCTTTCCAAGCCTTGGATAGTGGTATGGAGTATGGACAATATCATCTGTTAGTTTATTGCCTTAGCATATATCCCTTTCCATGGGCATTATTTTTTCTCTTTTCATTTTCATAGAAGGGTTTCACTCAGACGGCTTTCACTATATTTTGGGTCTCAGTTTTTGTCTTTTTCTTGAATTTATTTAACATCCATCTGTAGGTAGTCTTGAGAAGATGTTCTTGCTGCTATTCAATTCTTAAAGTAACTATGGTGAAAGTATGTATACTGACTTGATTGTCATTTTAAACTCTGAACTTTTGGAATGAAGGGACTAGGGACCTGAATGAGCTTCATAGGTATTGAATTTTCTAGCCTTAGATACATTATACATCTTTTCATTTTTTCGTTGATCTCTGGCAGTATAAACTTTGATCTGCACTCTCCTTCTCATCATACACCTCAAACAACATTGTTTATGTTTTTCACTCATGGATACATTGTCTTTTTGAGTTATTATAGGCTATGTGGTGTCTACTCGCTCTCTTTCACATAGATTGGGTGGCCTTTATTGCTTATATTGCCTTTTTGAGACGCAACCATTCCGGCCTCCTTTCAAGATATACTTGTCTCTTGGTATGTATTTCTAAAACCTATTTCTAGATATTCGATGAGGGTGTAAGTTGTAATAATCTAATATTCCTATATTTGATAACATCGATTGTTTTCTGCTTCGCAAAGCTAATGGCCTGTTAAGTAAACATAATTTTTTACTGTTCAGTATCTGTGGTGAAATTAACCATTTTTATATTTGAATCTTAAAGATAGAAATGTGGAAAGATCTCCATTTTCAATCTTATCCCTATTTTGAGGTTTTTTTGCGTGTTATAAACTCCGTCCCCGCCCACACACACACACCCTTGACACCAATTCACCCCCACCTAACCATCCTCGTACCCTTGTAATCACCAAATCACCACCACCAGTTTCTTCATTGCAATAATCACTTGAACTTACCGCGACAGGGCACTGTCCGCCAAATTATGTATGACATCTCTAACTAGCATCTAGCCACCATAAGTATTCACCACCATTATTGTTTACTATACCCGTCACTTCTATCATAAACCCTGTCAACCTACTCAACCACAAGTGCACAACCCCACCACTTTTATCAGTGTAACATATCAGTATATCGCTGTCACATGTATATTTGTATAACAAAAATAACCGGATTGCTAAATTTGTCACACTTTACTCGGTTGTTGAAAATAAGTGGATTGCAATTAGCTCCATATTTGAATTCAAGTATATTTTATAGAATTATAGTTTTCTGAAGGATAATAAATCTGATTTCTTTGGATGATAAACATGGAAAACAGAAAACCAAAGTGATTTGATTAATCGTTGATATAGTGCTTATTGTTGTGAAGGCTACCTGCTCGATTTGCCAGCTTTGATCCTAAATTGGCCACTTAATGATGCTTAAGCAACTGTTTGATCTCATGTTTGGTACTATGTTTTTTGTTTAACCATTGAGATTTCATTCTTGAGTGTGTAAATAAATCATTCACCCCCTTTCGAAGTCATATATACGTGCATGTGTGTGTAGGTAGTCATGATCTGACATCTGTGGTCCTCAAAATTATTTAGCACAAAGCCATTTTGATAATTATTTAATCCAATATATCCAAATCTTTACAAAGATATGAATGGTTCTACATATTAATAATGTCATTTTTACTGAGGAGATATTATATGTGATCGTGAATGCCAACTTTATAGGAGAATTGAAGAAGCTACGGACCCTTGTTGCAGATGCAAAAGCCAAAAGTATTGAAGTTGTTTGTGCTTTAGTCAAAAGCATGTTGGATAGGAACATGTTCCTAATTGGGGTTGTAGATATAAATGAATGCTCTGCAACAGAAAGAATAAATGAAGTTACAGAGATACAGAATGCCAGAATCCGAACAGCATATGAGAAGTAAGGGAGTCAGTTTTATAAGATTTTCCTTTTGGTTTTGGTTTCTTCACTCCGTCTGATCAAGTGACCATAACCATTTTTCTCTATAGGCTGTTTGCGAACACAAAAATTGAGCTTTTCACCCATTTGGACATGGTAAGCCATGCAATACGTGGTTGGATAATTCATGAATTGTTTCTATTTATGTGCATTTCAAAATAGGTAGATGTTGCATAAGTATAACAAACAATATGATGGGTGGATTAGTTGTACAAGGAGGTGATTATTAACTATAAATAGGAATAGGTGCAGATTGTCGTCCATTGCCAATGGAGCTAAAAGAGTCATTTTTTACCATTTCCTCAACTCCAGGTAACTAAGGGACTAAATCAAAATGGAACATTAAATTTTATTCTCTTTAGCCCTTGCTTTTTGGGAAGTAAATGCAGCACTGCCTCATGAGTCATGGCCTATAAGAAATTGCCTCTTTGTTTTTTACATGGATAAGCTTGTATACATCTTGATCCCCACACACCCGTGTAATTGAAATTATACTAGGTTTGTTGTACTCAATGGTCATGTTGGCCAATATACTGGATCTGGAACCCAGGCCTATGCATTCTAGGCTTGAATTAAACTAGTGAGAGCCTACGGGCATGTAGAAGTGGGACTGTGGGAGCGTGGCCTAGGATGTCCCGGGGTTTCTTGGCCCGAGATGTAAGGTTG